GTCATGCACCTGTACTTCAAGTACACGAACCCTCTACTCATCCAGAGCATCATTCCGCTCAAGGGCGCTTTCGAGGGCAACCTGATCAAGGTGCACCTTCTGGGCCAGGCAGCTTCGGGTGATCTCAAAAGGCCGTGGAAGGCAGCCAATCCAATGATGGGTATGATGGGCGGCTCCAGCGATGGAGGAATCAAGACGGACAAGAAGAGCATTGAGGCTGCTGAGAGGGCTGGCCGTGGCGGAGCTAAGGAGGAGTAGAATGCTTGTTCATAGCTTGGACAGATACAGGTCGTAGAGATATGTAGATGAACCTTCTACTCAAGCTCTTCGAGCATCGCTTTTCAGCACTTTAAATGCGTATGCATTCCGTTATCTTCGAGCCGAGACATGAAGTGCACGTACGCTGAGGACTCGTACACGTTTCCACCAGTGGAGCGAGGCGTAGCGATTGATTGCTTTGATGCTCTGAGAAGCAGTATGTCTTCTTATCGAGCAGAAGAGTAGACATTCATCATATGATTCTAGCTTGGGTATCTCTACGAAAGTAATCCCACCCCAACTCCTCGCTAATAGCATTCCACAATGATGGACAGCGTAAATGAAGACATCATCCTAGCCGCTGCCTCTTCGCGCCATGGCCAGTACCACGTTGCTCGGCAAGTCGTTTGCGCTCCAGTTCCTCCTTCATGATCCGCTCAGCGTTGCTCATTTTCTTCTCCGGTGCGGCGACAGCGGCTGGCTTGCTTTTTGAAAATGGGTTCTTCTTCATCAGCGGATTTCCAGGCTTCGCCTTGCCTCCAAGAGATAACGACACCTTCGGTGGTGCAGCAGTCTTTGCCGAATCTTCCACAACCTCTTCTTCATTCTCAACGCCTGCAGATGGCTTCGCAGCTGACGACTCCGGGGTGGCTGCTTGTTCTGCTGCTGAGAAGCTCTCTATTGCCACTGGCGCATCGACCGCTGGTTCCTTTGCCAGTGATTCCTGCCTTGGCACGAATTTTGCACCCAGTTTCAGTGAGAGCTTCATAGGCTCGACCGGGGCATCCGCAACAGGTGGCAGCGTCTTCTGTTCGTCGACTGTAGCCGACTTCGCTGCGGCCTCCTTGGCTCTCCGAATCTGTTGCTCCAGCAGTCTCGACTCTAGGTCTTCGTCACCCTTTGCCAGTCTCTCTTTTTTCTTTATATCCTCTCGCCGATTTATAGCTTCAGCACTATCATCAATCCACTGCACCTCCAACCCTCTCTCCCCCTCATGCACCCTACATATGCCCTCCCGACCAAGGTACTTCGCAAACTCCGTCAAGCTCGGCCACTTTGTGGAGTTCATATGCACATGCTCCTTGTCTCGGATATATTCCTGATAGAAGCCGTTGAGGCTGACCTTCTTCTCTCCATGGCTTGTCTTCAATAGCCGTAGGAAGTCGCTCTTGAACTGGTTGCTGTAGTCGTTGATGAATTTCTTGGGATCCTCGCCGACCATTAGCATGGATCGTACGTGACCTTCTGACATGGTATGCTGCTTGAAGCCGTTTTCATCCCGACACTGCTTCTCGCATATTTGGCAATACCATCGTAGTCGCTGCAAGCCCTTGGCCTTCATCTTATTGGCCAAGTGCTTGGTCGAGCCTACTTCGGCTTTTGGCATGATGGCGGTGATGAACGATAAAAAAAACTCGCGGCCAGGTAATGTCCTATCCACCGGGCTGTGCTCTGGGAACAAATGGCTGCGATCGTTGATATGCTCAAAGCAAGCATGAATCGTGGTTCGAGATTCTGTATCGATTGTGACTCAGCAGCGTTAGCGGCCGCTCCCGGGCCGAGATACTAGCCTTAACTCCAATGTGATCTCTCAACTTCACATTGCTTTCCGTTCTTGCTTCTGCGTACACCTCCAATGGGCTTTATAGACTTGTGACAGCTACAGGGCTGCACACCCTCTCGGTGACGAGAAATATACCTGGGAATCATGAAACTGGGAGTAGTGTTTGCCTACTACTTTTCTCAGCTCTGGTACACGACGGATGGTCTCAGTCGATCGACTTAGCCACTCGCGTTACGTGTTCAGGATGACCGCAGATCACCAAGTTATCTATACTCTGATCATGCTGGGGCACTACTGTCATGATGGTCCGCACCATCAGCAACTAGGCTCTGCTTTACCCACACAGTGGTGAAGAGCATGGATGGCTGTTCTTCATGTGCTGTCTTCTAAATTGTGAGCACGAAGACGCGTACTCGACGTATTCACGCCGTGGGCTGAAAGACTGAACTGTGACTGGTGGTTCAATTCCTGACCAACGGCTACAAAAGAAACGTTCTGGAAGACCTTCCAACACTCCTTGAACCACGCCAAGAAGCATTCCAGCAGCAGCAAGACAAATTGGCGATCGTCTCCGTGACAGAAGACTCTATTGGCGAGGTCTAAGGCGTACTATCGGGCGACACATATTAACAGCATTGATGTCTCATTATTAGCATTACATTGCACGACAACAGCAGTATACAAGGATGACGACACGGACGTGATTCCCAGCTTCACGATTATTATACATATTAGACCTACATACCTAGCTGAAGTTCTAAATTGACCATGCCAAGTACCACAATCCTGCTCTATCGCGACCTTAGCTCGGCCAACTACTGAGGCAGGAGAGACACTCCTCTTCGCGAGCAAAAGGTCAAAGAAAGCCAACAGCCGCCGATGAGCTCTACGCCATGATCTTCTAGCTGCCAGTGTAGTCGGCGCCTGTGATGGTGCCAGTGATCACGACGACCGATGGTGTGCTGCTTGGTGTGGGTGCGGTGATGAGCGTAGCGCCATTGATTGGCAAGATACTCAAGGCGGCGCTTGTGACCACGATTATGGAGGTCGTATCATTCGAAATCGTCGTCACGGCCGTGCTATCAGGACTAGAAATGGTGATGGTGGCATTCTGTGATGGGGCCGTGATGAATGTGCCGCCGTGAAAAGGTAAGATCGAGATAGAACCTGTACTGCTAGTGGTAGACGCCTGAACAGACGTATTTGTTGTTTGTGGCAAGGAGGAGGTCACATTGGCGGTGTCGGCGGATTGTGGGTAATACACCAAGAACTTTGGATCATCTGGCTGATCGTTGAAGATCGTTCCATCAAGACCGTCCTGGCAGAGTTGGCAATCACCGCTATTCCATACAGCGGCGAAGCAAACCGGATCTGCATCGCAGTACTCCAAACACTCGAATTGCGATGTCCCGTGCTCGCGGTGGATTATGGTCTCACATATCGGTACTTCCTGGCAGGAAACCGTGTATGTCACATTTAGCCAGTCCACCACAGAAACACCGTCACATAATGGGCAACGAGCCTCGGAGCTGTCGCACGAAAGGGTGGTTGATGCAGCAAGGGAAGTCGTAGTCGACGGCACTACAGCTGGAGTGGCTGTAGAGCTCGACACTGGAACATAGCTGTTAGTGGTTGGAAAAGCACTCGCTGCCGTCGCCGGAGTGTACGACTTAGTCGCTACCGGCAGGAATCCAGTATAGCCTGGCATTTGTTCCGGAAATACATCTGGGCCGTTCGCAAGCTCGCAGTTCCTATTGGCGTAGTAAGTCGTCCCTTGACACCAGGAAAAGCGGTCGCACTCGGCAAGACATCCTTGTGGAGAAAGCCACTCCTGTATGCTGTACTGGTTCTCTGAAAAGATCTGGCTGTTGCAGAAGACTTTGTGGTTCTTGCCGGTTGCATCAGTCACTTGCTCTCCTTCGCAGGCGGGGCAGCTGATGTTCGCCGATTGGCATTGACTGGTAGGTTGAGTTGAGGCTGGAACCGTAGCACTTGGAGCTAATGGTGATATAGAAGACGACACATTGAAGTACGATGGCGGAGTCCCAGTACCGGACAGTGCTGCTGAGCTTTCGGTCGACGCTGACACGGCAGTCGCCACTACCTGAGGAGTGGCGGGAGCCAGCGCCACAAGGACGTAAGCTCTCGAGCCAACATCATCTACAAGACTCACGGCCGTCCTGTTGCTGACGGCAATGCAACTGCCGTTCGAGGCCACGGAAACCCCACCACACTGAGGCCACTCGTCGCAAGCTTCAAGACAATCTGGTGCTCCCGTGACTGCCAGGCCGTCAGACTCGACCACCCATTCATCAGAACCTTGAACACGGCTACCACAGTTCAGGGTATAGCTTGATGCGCCAGAGGAAGTGAAGGCACAGCCATTGCAGGTCGATTTAGTTCCACAAGCATCATAGATGCAAGTATGCTTCGACTCCCAGCGTTGTGAGGCAAGACCCCGACGACCCAAAGCTGCGCGTTTGTTGATGACCGTGGTGGTGGTGGCAAGTCGTACCGGCAGGAGCCCGGTGAAGAACAGGGTGGAGAGCATCGTTTTATCTGATGCTTTAACTGTTATGTGAGGACTGTGAGAGGACACTGTTGCTGACGAAAGAACAGCTTCTTGAGTAAGGCGTGTCACTGACGTTTCAACTCAGATTGAGGAATGCGGCTTTGTGAGACCAGGCGAAACCTGACATCAGTCTGCAGCGATGCACACTTTGCAAACACTGCTTGCTGTCAATGCCAAAGATCTCGTATACGGGAAAGTGCATGCTATTTGCGTTGATTGTTACTTGCCAGTCACAACTGTCGGATGCGGCAGGTGATGAAGAGTGCCTTCCATTGGCACTTTGCTTCTTCTGACTGTATTCTGGCAAACTCTGCAAGTACGACGTGATAACGTACCAGACTCCATACCTCCTACCTACCGGGACAGTACTGGGCCCATGATTCGATACAAGGGCGGATGCTGAGACAAGTTCCATGGGCGTGGCGGTCCATTCAGACATGGAATCTTCACACAAGACAGCACCTCCAGGTCATATATATCATTAAAGAGCAGAAGAGCGAGAAGGTACGTTAAGCAGTCGCATATCAGACAGTAGAAGTCTTGTGACTCGTGGAGCTTGCGGCGAAGTAGGTTGGGTGTAGACTCTCGTTCACCGTACCGCCGCCTCCACCAGACGTAAACGATGCAAGCTCAAAGGTTATTATGCAAGACCTCGGCCGAACTGTTCGGGACGCTGCAACCCGTCTGCAACGCCACTGACGGTCTCGAATTTTTGGTTGCGACACAGTATCGTTCAGCATGCGGAATTACCTTATGCATCGATCGTTCGTTCGGGCGTGCAGTCGACCAGCACTCCAGCTCCAAAGCACCATACGCAAGAAGGACACGAACGAAAGCGGCCAGCAATGCGAGAGTCTGCGAGCTTTGCGAAGTCTGCATTCATCATCCTAATCGGGTACGTAGCGAGCCGAGTAGTTCTATGCAGCACATGAATATCCGGCTGTCATGCCATCCGTTCGCCTCATGCCCTCGCAGTAGGCACGTTGTAGGCTGCTTCTCTCCTACAATTACTTCTCGGCACGTAGGTCTGCTGTCTCTCCTTCTTCATCATCACCGACATTTCGCTTCTTGCATCGCTGTTCGGAGCGTGGTAGTACTGACACTCGGAAACTGAATTGGCTTGGATCACGATCACCGGAACATCACCATAGGCCTATTGGAACATAGCTGACTCCGTCGAGACTACGACCGGACGGAAGAAGTGCGGCTGCTTTGGAGCATAGTTGTAGTGCGCCTCTTGGACAGCGCCAGTCTCCTACCTCACCAGCCCTTCGCCCACCATGACCCACGCATCGGAAAGTGAAAAGCAGATCTCGGAGAGTTCGAGCAACGACGATGGATCAAGGTCAAGAGACCAGCTCGATGTGGCGGACATGGAGAAGACTATGCTAGGCCAGACACCCTTCCCAACACAATTACCAGTAGAGCCTGCGCCGCCTTTACAACGACTCGACTCCAAGCCGGCCAAGCAAAAGGCTGCTCAGGTAGCAGAGGAGAAAGAGCAAGATCCGCTAGCGCATCTACCAGAATATGAGGCGGCCATCATACGGAGACAGCTCGAGATACCGCCAGTCAAGCTCACGTACTTCAGCTTGTACCGCTACGCTACACGGAACGATCTGATCATTATGACTGTCAGCGGTATTGCTGCCATCGTAGGCGGTGCTGCCATGCCACTCATGACCATCATCTTCGGCTCTCTCGCTGGCACATTCCAAGGCTTCTTCCATGGAGGTAGTAGCGCTAGTTCTTTCTCTGGTGTTGTTAACCATCTAGTCCTATACTTCGTCTATCTGGCCATTGCAGAATTTGTGACCATATACACAGCCACGGTTGGCTTCATATATGTTGGCGAGCATATTTCGGCCAAGATCCGCGAGCAGTACCTTGCTAGTATATTACGACAGAACATTGGATATTTCGATAAGCTTGGAGCCGGTGAGATTACGACCAGGATTACTGCCGACACAAATCTTGTCCAGGATGGCATTTCAGAGAAGGTTGGCTTGACTTTGACTGCCGTGGCCACGTTCATAACTGCATATGTCATCGGATACATCAAGTATTGGAAGCTCACACTCATTTTGACCTCGAGCATCGTGGCGATTTTCCTTACCATGGGTGGGCTTGGACGCTCCATCGTCAAATACAACAAGCGATCTCTTGCATCGTATGCTGAAGGTGGTACGGTCGCGGAGGAAGTCATCAGCTCGATCCGCAACGCTACTGCTTTCGGGACACAGGACAAGCTCGCGCGCGAGTACGACGTCCACCTTGCCGAGGCTGAGAAGTCGGGTTACAAGATGAAGGCAATCACTGGCTCTATGATCGGCTTCCTGATGTGCTACGTCTATCTGACATATGCCTTGTCGTTCTGGCAAGGAAGCAGATATCTGGTTGCTGGCAAGATGACGCTTTCGGATGTTCTCACCATCCTTCTCTCTATCATGATAGGCTCGTTCGCCCTTGGCAACGTAGCTCCGAATGTGCAGGCCTTTACCACAGCTGTCGCTGCTGCGAACAAGATCTACGCGACGATCGACCGCAAGTCTCCACTAGACCCCGAGTCCGAGGAGGGCACTCAGCTCAAAGACGTCCAAGGCTCGATCGAGCTGCGCAACATCAGACATATCTATCCTTCTCGTCCGGAAGTCGTGGTGATGGAGGAGGTGAATCTCCTTGTACCCGCGGGCAAGACGACCGCACTGGTTGGCGCTTCGGGCTCTGGAAAGTCCACTATCGTGGGTCTGGTTGAACGATTCTACGACCCCGTTGGTGGAGACGTTCTGTTGGATGGTCACAACATCCAGAGTCTCAATCTGCGATGGCTTCGCCAGAATGTAAGCCTGGTGTCTCAGGAGCCTACTCTGTTCGCTACTACCATTTTTGGCAACATCAAGCATGGCTTGATTGGCACTGAGCATGAACATTTGGCTCACGACCAGGTCAGGAAGCTGGTTGAAGATGCCGCACAGCAGGCTAATGCTCATGACTTCATTGCTCAATTGCCGGAAGGCTACGAGACCAATGTCGGCGAACGTGGATTCCTTTTATCCGGTGGGCAGAAGCAGCGTATTGCTATCGCTAGAGCAATGGTCAGCGATCCCAAGATTCTTCTGCTGGATGAGGCAACATCAGCCCTCGATACGAAGAGCGAGGGTGTGGTACAAGCTGCGCTGGACAAGGCTGCTCAGGGTCGGACGACTATTGTCATCGCCCATCGTCTCAGCACCATCAAGCACGCAGACAACATTGTTGTTATGTCGCAGGGTCGCATCATCGAGCAAGGGACGCATGACGCTCTGCTCGAGCGCCGAGCAGCATATTACAATCTCGTGGAAGCACAACGCATTGCAGCGCAGACACAAGCCAAGGACGAAGAAGAAGTACCCATTCTCGATGAGAAGGACGGCAACCTGACTGCACGCACGCCAGCTACTGAAGAGGCTGAATTCGAGTACGAAGCGGATTCGAATGATCTCGAGCTCGGTCGCACTAGAACTCAGCAATCAGCATCCAGTAAGGTGCTAGCCGGCAAGGAGAAGTCGAATGAGGCAAAGTATACTCTGTGGCAGCTCATCCTGCTGGTTGCATCTTTCAACAAGAAAGAATGGGTATACATGCTCATCGGCCTATTTTCCAGCATCATCAACGGTGCCGGTAATCCAGTCCAATCGGTCTTCTTCGCCAAGGCCATCACAGCTCTTGCTCTACCAGTACCGCAATACGCTGCTGAGCTTCGATCACAAGTCAACTTCTGGAGCTGGATGTATTTTATGCTGGCTATTGTACAGGTTATCTTCTTCCTTACTCAGGGTTTCGCTTTTGCATACTGCTCTGAAAGACTGGTTCATCGTACCCGCGACCAGAGTTTCCGGACCATGCTGCGGCAGGATATCCAGTTCTTCGACCGCGAGGAGAATACTGCTGGTGCTTTGACGTCTTTCCTCAGTACTGAGACGACACATTTGGCTGGTATGAGTGGTGTTACTCTCGGAACACTACTACAAGTCATTACTACTCTAGTCGTCTGCTTCGTCATCTCTCTTGCCGTTGGATGGAAGCTGGCTCTGGTTTGCATAGCTACTGTGCCCATTGTGCTGGGCTGTGGCTTCTTCCGCTTCTGGATGCTCGCCCGCTTCCAGCAGCGTGCCAAGAAAGCTTACGAGAAGAGTGCCTCGTATGCTTGCGAGGCCACCAGTGCCATCAGGACTGTTGCTAGCTTGACCAGGGAGATTGATGTGTGGCAGAACTACCACGACCAGCTTGTCGATCAGCAAGCCAGGTCGTTGATCAGCATCTTGCAATCAAGCGGTCTCTATGCCGCTAGCCAGAGTTTTATGTTCCTCTGTATTGCCCTTGGATTCTGGTATGGCGGCACATTGATTGCGCGTGGCGAGTACAGTAAGCGATCCCTCCAACCTCGGACACTTGACATTAACAAGCTAATGTTATCTTGTAGACATGTTCCAATTCTTCCTCTGCTTCTCTGCGGTCATCTTCGGCTCACAATCGGCGGGTACAATCTTCTCCTTTGCGCCGGACATGGGCAAGGCCAAGCACGCTGCCGCCGAACTCAAGACTCTGTTCGATCTCAAGCCTGAAATTGACAGCTGGAGCCCTGATGGCGAGGAGCTTTCGACTATGGAAGGTGCGATTGAGTTCCGTGACGTGCATTTCCGGTATCCTACGAGACCAGAGCAGCCTGTGCTCCGTGGCCTCAACCTGACTGTCAAGCCTGGACAGTATGTTGCTCTTGTCGGTGCTTCAGGATGTGGTAAGAGCACGACTATTGCCATGCTGGAGCGCTTCTACGACCCCCTGGTTGGTGGCATCTATGTCGATGGCAAGGAGATCAGCAGTCTCAACATCAACAATTACAGGAACTTCTTGGCACTCGTGTCGCAAGAGCCTACCTTGTACCAAGGTACTATTAGAGACAACATCTTACTTGGTGCGGACAAGGCACCCGAGGACGTACCGGAAGAGGCCATTGTTCAAGCCTGCAAAGACGCCAATATCTACGACTTCATCCTTTCACTTCCTGATGCATTCAACACCATCGTAGGAAGCAAGGGTAGCATGTTGTCAGGTGGTCAGAAACAACGAGTAGCCATCGCCCGAGCTCTGCTTCGCGACCCAAAGATCCTGTTACTCGATGAAGCAACCAGTGCGCTGGACTCGGAATCTGAGAAGGTGGTGCAAGCGGCTCTCGATGCCGCCGCCAAAGGCCGCACCACGATCGCCGTGGCGCATAGATTGTCTACCATCCAGAAAGCCGATATGATATACGTGTTCGACCAAGGCAAGATCGTGGAGAACGGAACACATAATGAGCTTATTGCGAGAGGCGGACGGTACTTTGAGCTTGTCAACTTGCAGAGCTTGGGTAAGAATCAGTAGCTTGTGATGTGCTTTTTTGAACGGCGATTGAGCAAGGCGTTTGGGCAGACGATCGCATCAAGGATCTGTTTGGCTGTGTTGCACCTAGACGGCCTACATACATTTTCCATTGACTCGTTACTTCGTACGTTCGTCTTGCACAGACTCATAGTGCCACGACATTTACAGCCAATATCTGTTCCCGCTGCCACCGAAACCAAAGATCCGTCCGCCTAAAAGCGTTGGAGGTGTTTACCACGCAGCGACAGGCACTGAGCTGCAGACTGTCCATAAACTACGCAGCTGGCATTACATGACGGGCTTGACGGGGCGTATGCAGAGACAAGGCGCCCCAAACCACTCTTCGCTTTCCGTGCCGCAGGAGTTGCATGTGTCGACTCGATATTCATTGTGGTTGAGAAGAGACTTTTCAGAATCATACCAATACGTGCTTCGAGAAAAGCGTTATTCGTGTCGATGCTGGCTTCTTTCGTGGACTCCAAGATGAGGATCACGTCTTAATGGTGGCCTTGATCGAGTGTTTCGATGACTTTTTTGCTGGTCGGTGCGACTTCATGCTTTCGTGCCTGTGGTCGTCTAACGATCCCGGACCAGTCGCCGCTCGCGTGCAATCGTCACAACATAGCATTAAGTCGTTGCTGCAAGTATCCCACAGTCCCTCGTATTGTAGCACCATCATGCGGAGAGAGTGGACGTCTAGCAGTGTCGTTGACATCGTTCCGGGTCCGGGAAGGTCGAAGATTAAATATCGATCGAGATCTCCCTCTTTCTAACTGCTGTCTTGACGTGATAGATATGACGAAGCATAGAGGAGCAACATCATCCATGTTCACATTGCTGCCTATCTGTATACCGATTTCATCCGCGGACCTCGAAGCTGCGCGCGGAAAGTCCGAGGACCATCGGCCGAGAATCCACGGCCATAACGAGAGATCCTTCCGCTCGCCGACCACTTTGGGGTTTGCTTGCGATTCGTCGAGGCAGGGTGGGATGGATAGGCATCAAGTTTGCTGACGAGTGCTGAGGGCTAAGCAGCTGACCATTCCGGTGCCGACCCGCAGCAAGTGATTCATCTACCTCATACCATAGATGTACGCGGTGCTCGAAAGATGTTGTTACACCTTCGGCCTAAGTGTCTACTGTTCACTTGACACAGTGTACTCTGGGTAATACCCTTTCATGCCAAGCACTAGCCATCCCGCCCAATAATAAGTGCCCATGACCGCCGTCGAGATCAGGTAATATGATCGAAGTTGGAGGTCGCGGGCCCATTGAGGAGGGTGATTCCCGCCCGCAGGTTGTTGTGTCCACAACCAGGTCAATGGGATGCGTCCATGGTATTCGTGAAAGTCGTACTCGTATTTCATCGACTGCACTTGCACCCCGAGAAGGGCGGAGAGCAAGGTCTCTCGAACACTTGGCAGCCGTCGCAGTCCATAGAAGATCAACTCCAGCCAGAATGGAGTGCTTGACAGCTGAGGATAGAGATCTCGATCGAGAGTGGCGCTGCAAATCTGCGGCATCATGAAACTCATCAGAGTTGCCCATTTTCTTGGACCAGAGCGTCGACTTGCGTTGCGATACATGTTGCTGTCCAGCATTCTCATTTCCCAGCTCCAGTCCTCGGCGCAAGCGCAGGGTGTTGCAGTTCTCGGTTTCGCTGAAGAACAGATGACCATCTCATCCGATCTAAAATTCACTACCCTCCCAGGGTTGATCAGAGTATCGGAGCTCCCGATGCTTCGGGCTCGGTGGACTCGTACGTGCCCTGCGATACACCTTACGCTGGTGCAGCCTGGCGAGTCAGTGGTATGCCAGTGTAGAGGTATTCGCCATTGACTTCCCTCAGGGACTTTGATGAGAACAGTGTTGTGGTCGTCCAGAAATTCGAATGTACCACTCTCTGGGTCTGGGAGACCGAGTGTACTGAGCTGTTTGGTAACCGTCCGATTCATACTTCTGGCTTGAGTGAAGAAAATGTCAAGTCAGATTCATATGGGAATGAGCACATATACCGTACTGCAACGTCTGTTAGCTTCGCTCCTGCTGCCGTCGGCGCCTAGCTATGCCTTTGTGTTTCAGTGAACAGACCTATGTCGCCAAGGGCGCCTGCCCTTCTATCTTCGTCTTGGGCGTGAGTGCGTTGTAGTTGGTTTCTACCAACGAGGGATGTTTTATTGTTTACAAAACCAGCAAAGAAACGGGATGCGAAGTGATGATCAAACATGATTCGTAACCTTTTGATTTTGTATCTAGGAGCATCTACCGTATCGTGGATATAAATTAAGGCATACATGTCAGCCCCTCATCTGGTCACTCGATACGCTTCCAATCATCTCGTTACATTGCACATTACCACACCCGCCCTACGACCTCTTGACCATGCCCATGCCAGCGGGGAGTGCCTGAGCAACGGCATCGCGTCTCGCCGATCCAGAGCAGCCTGCTGGCGTGAAGATACCAAGATCGTACAACCAAGCACCAGAGTTGAACTCGGAGTAGATCGTCTGGATGAGGAAGGGCTGAGCAGATTGCCATCCATTGAAGCTGGTCTCAAGGACGATGATACCGGTGACTTGCTCTTGCACGGCTGGTGGTGGAGGAATTGGGCCGGGGTTGGGCATCGGTCCGCGCCATCTGACGGTCACAGTATCGCAGTTGTGCCAGACATTGAGGATGTTGAAGGTGATGTTTGGCTGACCGCCCTGACCTGCCTCGAATGTAGCGAGGGAAGTGAAAGTGGGGGACCCCAAAGCGATATAAGGAGCCGGCCCTGGGGAAGAGCTGGGGCATCCACCGTCGATGAGCTCGATGACAGAGTCAGAGAAGTCCTGGACGTCCGTTGTGAGGACGGCGTTGGCGAGGTCGTTGGTGTAGGCCGAGATCAAGCCCTTGAAGTTGTTGGCGACTTGTTGGGCTTGGGCATCGTTCATGCACTCGCCTGAGCCGCCGTTGAAGCCCCATCCGTTCCAGCCTCCCCAGCCGAAGTGTCCCCAAGGTGCGGCAGCGGCACCGAGGGTGAATGTCGCAACGGTGGCGATGGTGGAGGTGTACATCTTGAGTCAGGTAGGCTGTCGGCTTATTGGTTGGAGAAGTTGGTAGTGATCGTGTGGAAGTGTCAGTTGGAAAGGTACCAAAATACAAATCGATCGTCGGGGCCAGAGGAGTAGCATCTTATAGCAAGGCTGCCCGCTCGTCGAGCTTCTGCTGCTGCTCGACCTAAATTTGGCAGCAGTATCTACGTAAGGCTAGAAGCATGTTCCTGCCCTACTAGCCCAATATCGATCCCGTCAGGCGAGCGAAGGGCAACGCTACAGCTAGCACCGGCCGTTCCATGCATGACGATCGCCACTGAGGTACGGTAGCAGACCAATGATGCTAGGCCGATGAAGGGCTGAAGCAAGATTGGCATAAGCGTAAGAATGACCCGAGTGCGGTGTTGCTCTCGTGGAATGTCCGGGCGTAGCTGACACCTGACAGTGAGACGTCGTATTGGTCCCTGGGTACGATGCCTGGGTGGGGTCATGCCGCCGCTGAGGTAAGATCTCTCTTTCAACTCATGAACATGCTTCCGCTAAGCCAGTCAGTACAGGCTCGTAGATGGCGATCGACGAGACTGTTGCGCTTGCTACAAAGCTCTGTAGGGCAGACTATTGTTCACTGGTGGCGGCGTGGCGTGCATCGTCAAGCTGCAAGCCTGGTAGTCAGATCTGTCTGAAGTGCTTTAGCGTGTGGAGAGAGGCGTGTGGAGGTCACCGTCGATGGGTGGGTGAGTGGGTACTGCGAACGGCTGGAGCGACGTCTCAGCCCCAGCTCGCGTGAGGGCGACCGAGTTCGGCATGGCGTGGGAATCATCGATGCCTGCTACGGTGTAGACTGTGCCGTGTTCCAGACTAGTGCGGGCAGACTAAAAGGCAAAAGAGAGAAACCCAGTCATTTTCTGACAGGTTGACGTTCAGAGGCACATAAGCTTCGTATGATGGTGTCAGAGGCCATTTCGTAATTGGCTGAACCTTTTATACCTTCCTTCAGGTATTCTCTACACAGCCCTAGCCTGGCAAATCGATGTGCCGTATTCAGTCGCTTTGCCGCAACAAGGTTTTGCTAGAAGCTCATTCGCTGTGTCTGAGCGACCATGGTCGATATGCGTGCCGCAAGCGAGGTAGCGTAGATCTGGAAGCCAAGACCTTTCGAATGCGCTCTCGAGACATTTGCACGAGGCTTGACAGCACGCTGTCTCAGATCCCAAAGACCAACAAGAACGGGCTCATGAAGACTTACCTCAGACGCGCGAGAGAGATGGCGAGAATGTGCGTATGCGATGGTGAATTGCTCCAGGCGGAGAAATATGAGAGTGAGCAGAGAAGAGGGAAAATCGTTGCAGCGAGCCTTCGACAGCAGTCACGTGGTGACCCGGGTGACTAAGCACAGGACGTCATACTGCATAATCGATAGCTAGAGCTTTAGGTACACGCGGTGAAGGTATCCAGCACAATCATTAATCAGCTCATACAATTTAGCACAGAGTAGTATGTCCTACTACTTCGAGCAAGACAACATGGACTTGGGAATGTATCAACGCGGCATGATGGCCAGAAGTGGTCGTCCACGCCGCTTCGATGAGTACTATCGCTGTTACCCAGTCGCCATGATGCCTGGACCAGAACGTGATGTGGCCAACCACGGCGGCAAGATCTTCTTACCAGCATCGGCGCTCGACAAGCTCACCCAACTACACATCACCTACCCCATGCTCTTCGAGCTCACCAATGGCAACAAGGGCAAGAGCACGCACGCCGGTGTCCTTGAATTTACTGCAGAAGAGGGAAGATGTTACTTGCCATACTGGCTCATGCAGACCCTTCTCCTCGAACCTGGCGACTTACTACAAACCAAAAGCACGGATCTCCCACCCGGCCAGTTCATCAAGCTCCAACCACAAAACACATACTTCCTCGACATCTCCGATCCCAGAGCCGTGCTCGAGACCGCCTTCCGCAACTTCTCCTGCCTGACGCTTGGCGATACCTTCACCTTCTCCTACAATGATACCGTCTACGAGATCGCTGTGCTGGAAGTGAAGCCTGATGGTGAGAAGCATGCGATCAGTGTACAAGAGACGGATCTCGAGGTCGACTTTGCGCCACCAGTAGGCTATCAAGAGCCGCAGAAGACGAGCGGGACGAGTACACCGCGGAGTATTGGGTCAACGATGGCGGGTAAAGGTGGGATGATGCATGCGGAAGGCACGATGGCTCAAGCGATCAACTACTCTGCAATTGCTCCTGCCACAACTGCAGCAGGCGCAGACAAGCGCTCAACAGCCTTCTCAGGCTCAGGCAACCGTCTCGTGGCAAAGAAGGGCAAGGCTAGCACAGTCGGATCAACACCAGCATCAAGTATACCAGGCACACCAAAGCCAGAGCAAGGCATAAGTATTCCCACATCATCACTCCCCAAAACAACGAAAAGACGCGATGGACCACAGCCGCTTCGCCTGGGACCCGGCAAACTATTCTTCGGATACGAGATCAAGCCGCTGAAGAACAAGGAGGCGCAGGCTGAAGCCGAGGCGGAGCAAAAGGAGAAGCAACATTTCCAGGGTGAAGGCCAGACCTTGCGGAAGAAGAAGGATACGAAGTAGATTTTGCTCGAGATTGCGGAAATAGGCGATGTATGATCTATCAGGGATAAGCGAGGAGTTGGTGGCGTGTTACTAGACAGCTTAGACATGGGGAAGTGGCGAAGGACGACGGTCGAACTATGTGAAACGCCAACCATACCTTGTCGATAGCCCTGTCGGAGCTCTACAGCAAGTATCTCAAAAGCTACTTGCTTGACATCGCCTCACGTCTCAGTCGCTTGACCTCGTTGTTAAGACAATGTAATGACTATAGAAACCGCGTTTTATGACGGTTTGAAGATTTGCTCGGAATAGTGCCTCGGCTACCTCTGGCTCAATGTCAAAGTGATAAGGCCATTCTATAGTATGAATCACTGCGTTAAAGCACGCCCAATGTATAACCCCTGAAGCCCGCGACGTCGTCATGTTCGTGCCTCCCTGACGCACAATCACGTCGTCGTGCTTTTGACCGTCCCCTCAAGCCCGAAAAATCTACCTCTGAGACGCATTACCGGTCCAAGAACCAGGCATCATAGAGTGAAGCATGCTCGGCTGCTTGACCGGAGCCTGAAACTTCGGCCCACCATATGCACCACCCGCTGACCGCATCTCACGCAAGATATCTGCCTCGTCCCTTGCGTCGATGACCTCTTGACACTTCTCCTCAAGTGCTCTGTTCGCCTTGGTAGTCTGCTCGGCGAAGTTCGTGAAGGTGGAGTCCACGTGCTGGCGCAAATGACTGAGCTCGTGGCGCAATACCTGGATGGTCTGATCTTGCTCGTTGACTCGGGTGGCGAGGTCACGGAGAAGACCTGTGACGGAAGCCTGGCCGTTGAGCTTTTGGGTCAGGCTTTGTGCCATGTTTGTGATGTTGGCGGTGGCGGAGATGTCGATGTATTGAGGTGGGTGGGAGATCGAAGCTGACTGTTGCTGATATGCTCTTGCCTGTGCATAGGGTGAAGCGACAGGGGTTGGCGGTAGGCTCGGAGTGTATGCTGCTGGGTTGGTCGGTGTCGTCATACGCTTGGTTTTCTTCTTCTTCGCCACTGGAGCTTGTGTGTTGACATTCGTGAGGTCGATGGCGTATTGCCTATGATCGCTGCTCGGCTTGGGAGTGGATGGTAAGCGAAAGGTGGGTGTGCTCGTGTTGGTCGGGTCGAACTCGTACGATCTCTTGCGGCTGCTTGGCTGGGAAGAGGAAGGCACTTGAAGGGCAGGCTCGCTTGGGCCGAGTGAGGTCTTGATGGGATACTGCTGTTGCTGGCGATCCCTGTTAGTAAGTTGGAAACCTTCGGGTAGCCACGAGGAGAAGTTGCCCGTAGAGTTGATGTGACTAGCGAACTGTGGGTATTGTTGCCGCTGTAGCTGACTCAATTTTGCTGTTTTCTCCACATCCGAGTCGATCATAGCGAAGTCATCGTCGGGCTGGCCTGGTGACGCCAATTGGCCGTGGAAAGGGTCTTCCAGGAACAGCGGATCGTTTGCAAAAGTGCTTGCTTCGTAGGGTGCAAGTGGCTGTAGGCCATACTCTTGAGAGGTGAGATCGACAGTCTCCATTCTCCTGTGAGTGTTGTAGTAGAGGTCGATGGCCACCGTAGGAAGAATTCGAGCCTACTTATATGGAGGTATCACTTGCCGAATGCGGTCATATGACCTGCGATGAATCATGCGGCTCTAGCTCCAACAAGTGATGTGAAGTCGGATTTGGGTTCAGCCATTGTTACCGCCCATGCCTTTAGCAGAGCCCACACCATGGCATTGGGACAAATTCGTTTTCATGCCCATTCCGAGGCTCACACCGAGTGATATTGACGGTATCTGAGTTGTGAACCGGTTCACTCACCGTTCTTCTCAGTAGCTGCAACAGTACGCTTCAACACCACACAGAAGTTGTTCCGTCCAGCTCCGGGATTGACTTGAGTTTTCAAAAAATCTTGCTCCTTGACCACGGGCCCATCACGTCTCTGCCACAGGTAGTACACCAACTTCGCGGACAGCCTTCGCTGTAGTAGCACATAGCCTAGACTTGCCATCATGCACGTCAGACGCTCCTCGTTCATATATCGTGAGTTCGTGACACATGAAGCTGGTAGTACCAAGAATAGGGCAGGGAAGATGCCTTTCAATCGTTCAGGAAGCGTACGGGCGACAAGAAACTGGCAAGTACGCTTCAACATCTCGCCTCGTGCCTCGGAGTCCGGGACAAAGTTGAGCACAAGCGAGAGTGATATGACATCGAACATCTCGTGGTCATGAGTCGGCGATGGGCGCTGCATGAAATTTTGCTGAACAATGCCTTCAGCCTGCGAGTTCAAATCGATGCGCTGAATCTCGAAGAGTCCAGACTTCGAACAGGCATTACTCGTAGATAGCGCACCGACCTCCAGCAAGCGCACCTTCTTGCTGCTGGACGCCATATCCTTGGCCACAGGCTTCAGCCATTCCATGAGCACAGTCGAAGAGTCGCCACCACGATCGTTGGCTTGGCCTTGAATGCTGGCAAGCTGGTAGATTCTGAGGCCGCCGAGCTCCTCCATACGCTTCTTGAGCTCGTAGACCTCTGCATCGTTGCCCTTGGACTGTGCTAGGGCGAGTTTTCTGTTCAATTGATGATAGGTCCGGATCTGCTTTGCTGTCTGCTTGGAGGAAAGGCTCGTCTTTGGCTTTGCTGCTGTCGGTGGACGTCCGTTGGCAAGGCGAGCGCGCTTGGCTACGCCGTTCGTGATCTTCGACTCTGCCATTGTCCACTATGAACTCCTTCGTTCTGGTTATTGCTGATTGGTCGAAGGGGAAGTTTTTTTTCGATTGGCAGCCTCAGATATCACGACCACAGTTCAGCACCTCGACCTTGGGACACCATTGTGGACACCATCGCACACGCTTTCGAGCTGGCAAGACATCATGGCCGAGTCTGTAGGTGTCGATGATGTTGACTGCACTTTCTCTTATGTGAGATGTCTTGGCGTATGCTGCATTAGTGCCGGACGGACCCGCTTTGACAGAGCACACTCCGAAATTCTCCATACAGATTGTCGAAAAAGCCAGTGCATTGAAGCTGTACGATCAGACACGACCGCGATCATCCGACCACAATGGCACCGAAGGAGAGCACCAAGACGCCCAAGGGTATGTCAATAATGAGCGCAGTGATTTAGCGACGATACCATATTCAATACCAATCCCACCACACGAGCAACGACTAACCTCTTCACAGGCGCCAAAAAGTCAGGCAAGCCCTCTGCGAAAGCCAACGCAGCAGCAAAGGCAACCCTGCGCGGCGTAAGCACACCATCCGTTCCTTGAGGCGTGTCAGACCCCCCATCATTCTGACGGCCTGTTCTTCACACAACAGGTCAACTCGCACAAGGTCCGCAAAGTTCGCACGAACACCTCCTTCCACCAGCCCAAGACGCTCTCGCTCTCGCGCTCGCCCAAGTACCCCCGCAAGTCGGTACCCCACGTCCCTCGCCTCGATGCCGGCAAGGTCATCATTCACCCGCTCAACACTGAGAGTGCAATGAAGTTGATTGAGGAGAATAACACGCTGGTATTCATTGTGGATACCAAGGCGAACAAGAGGCAGATTAAGCAGGCGCTTAAGACGCTGTACGACGTTGAGACGATCAGGATCAACACCATGATCAGGTATGTGAGCATCGAGCGGCTGAAGGAAACATTCGCTAACAATACGAAGACCAGACGGTTCCAAGAAGGCTTTTGCCCGCCTTACACCTGATGTCGATGCGCTCGACATCGCCGCTACCAAGCTGGCCATTGTCTAAGCGTGCCGAGCATTGCATCCGTCTTTCGACACGGCGTTTGGGGGGCAGGGCAGAGTCGCACAAAACGCACTCCTGATGACGGTTCCGGCGCGGACTCGGAGTATTGCTTGAGAGTAGTGTACAGCTACTGTTACAGATTTATAGCCAGTCAACGTTCGAGGCTACCACTTGCCTCCCTAGCCTATCATACATCCCATCATACTCTTAGAACAACATCCTCTCAGAGTCCAGCCATCTACCATGCTATCTCTTACAATGTCCAGTATGCACAGGAGGCATTGATTACCCTTCGAGTGACGCCATGCCTCGAAATGCTGCACCATCGCCAGTGAAACAGCATGTCTACTGCATCGTCCTCATCTGCTCCAAATGCCTGATAACGACCATATTCGCATCCATGTATCTATCGACACAGTTCTGCACACAAGGCTGTTCGCTCCTATCCAATTGCCCGGCAGAGATTTTGCTGGTGATACATTTCCGGAAGCAGAGGTCGGTCAGGCTGTGGATGGTGGCTTGTATCTGTGCTTTCTGGTTTTCTTGCGTGACGAATGTGTTGAGCTCCTGCCTGCAAGTCAGATGTTAGACGAGGGTTCGTGTTGGGGAGCAGGCGCGCGGGTGGCGTACTTGTCTCTTGGTGAGAGGTTCTTGAGGCCTTCTGCTACTTCGGGGGAGATGGAGTCCATGTTGCTATATTGTGACTGATGGCTGTACTACACTTCTAGGCGCATTCTCCTTCTCGAGTCCTACACACGCGAACCATCATTCGAGAAACGAGAACGCACAGACCAATTGACGTTTTGCGGCGGGGCGCGTGGGAGCTGTTGAGTGAAGGAACTTTCGCTTCAACGCCAGAATCGACCACCACTCCCCAGCGTTTGTTTGCTACGCCACCCGCTGAGTGAGCACCAATACAGTCCAACTAAACCCGTGAGGAAAAGCCAATCTACCGCTGCGGCTTCTGCTCAGCGCCCTGCATACATCTGATCCCACCTGCTTGCTGCCGAGCCTGCGTTGTCGATCATTCGCCTCGTCAACATGAGCGCCATTCCGAACCGCCGTGGAGGTGGTGATATCGCTCCCGTGAGTCTATACTTGTGCTTCACTTACTTTGTGCTATGGTCATGCGAAGAAGCACTAACAGTGACGATATGCAGACCCCGCAGAACACACCGGTATGCGAATAACTAAATCTTGGATAGCCAGCTAGCTATGGACCACAATATTGATTAGATTGCAGGCCAACAACGCGCCCATCTCATCACGCGCGCAGGCACCCAACATCCCAGACATCAGCGAAGGTATGGACGAGTTCATCAGCACTCATTAGCGGAGGACGTGCACTAATTAAGAGTCGGTGAACAGAGGACTTCGATCGCGCGGCCGCTGCCTCTCTCTTCGCCCAAAACCCGAAGCTCGTGTCAATGATGCAAAACAAGCTCCAGGGCCTAGTTGGCCGCTCCTCAGGCTACGTCGAGTCCCTCCCAGCACCCGTGCGAAAACGCGTCGCCGGCTTGAAGGGTGTCCAGAAAGAGCACTCCAAGCTCGAGGCCGAGTTCCAGGAGGAGGTTCTTGCACTCGAGAAGAAGTTTTTCGCCAAGTTCACCCCACTATACGAGAAGCGTGCCAAGATCGTTAACGGCCAGTCCGAGCCTAGTGAAGAGGACGTCAAGGCCGGCGAGGAGGATGAGGAGGAGGATGAGGAGACCGAAGAGGCCAAGGCCGAGGCAGATAAGAAAGCTGAGGCAGACGGCACCACCAACCAGAAAGGTATCCCAGAATTCTGGCTCAGTGCGATGAAGAACTCTGCGCTTGCCGAGACCATCACAGACCGCGATGAGGAGGCGCTCAAGCACCTCACCGATGTTCGCATGGAGTACCTCGACCGCCCAGGCTTCCGCCTAATCTTTGAGTTCGCCGAGAACGAGTTCTTCAGTAACAAGACCATGTCAAAGACCTACTTTTATCAAGAAGAGAACGGCTATGGTGGCGACTTCATCTACGACCATGCGGAAGGTGACAAGATCGAGTGGAAGTCTGGCAAGGATTTGACAGTCAAGGTTGAGAGTAAGAAGCAGAGGAATAAGAGTATGTGGCATGACCATCACTTTTCTGTGGAGCTCATTACTGACACCTTGTAGACACCAAGCAGACCCGCATTGTGAAGAAGACCATCCCCACACCATCATTCTTCGACTTTTTCAACCCTGCCAAGCCACCGGGTGATGATGACGAGGACATCGACGAGGATCTCGAGGCCAAGCTGGAGCTCGACTACCAACTGGGCGAGGATATCAAGGAGAAGCTCATCCCTCGCGCGATTGACTGGTTCACTGGCGAGGCTCTACAGTACGAGCAGGGTATGGATGACTTCGATGAGGATGAGTTTGAGGACGAAGATGACGAAGATGAAGATGATGAGGAGAGGGATGAGGACGACGAGGAAGATGAGGATGATGAGGTGAGTGTTCTATGACTTTTGGATTGTTGAGAAGATCTGTTCTTTACTGACTATGCAGTAGGAGGATGGCTCAAAGCCTAAGCAGGAGACTGCTGAGTGCAAGCAGAGCTAGATTGCTCGCATCAGCAGAGAGCCCGGCAATGTTTGCTTGCCATACGACTGAGAGTCGCAGCGTTGTGCTCGTGCAATGGTCACAGCATTTGGAGTCTCCCGATAAGAAAGACTACCTTCCTGTGACGAAGACTGGTCATACAACGAGGTCAGATGGGCGCGAAGCCGCCTGCAAAGCATGATTGTACATTCTACAACACGACAACTGCTACAAGCCAACACAGTCCCTCCTTTCATCATGCGATGCTTGACCTCATCCCACGCTCCTTGCATGATTTTTTCGGACAGGGCCAACAGGAGTAAGCTGGCGGATATTTGAGCGCGAGGTACAGGCACTGTTTTAGGCGTTGCTCTACGAAAACTTTACACGAGGGCGATTATAATGCCCCACCAACTAATGTTACAATCCACATGGCTATTCTCACATGCAACCCCACTCTCCTCTCCGTCTTCGCGTAGTCGTCCCTCGTCATCGTGGTCGTGTACTCCTGCAGCCACTTCACCTCGGCTCCAAGCCTCTTCTGCAGATCCGGATTACTCGTCACGATAAGCGTGTTGGCTTCTAGATCTAGCGAATAGCTGCGTTTCGTGTAATTTGAGCTCCCTACGAGGCTGATACTTGGGTTCTGCTGTCCTGGTAGAGTGATCCAGATCCCTTTGGCATGGTATGTCCAGCCGCCGGGAGTATTGACTGTGCCCTTTCGCCATTCTTTGACCGCGATCTGTTGGCTCCATCCTGCTTGGTTCACGGCGTCGAGGAAGCGGCGGGAGAGGAGAGTGTAAGCTGCTGGTAGCATGCCGCTGACACCTTTGCTACCGTAGAAGCCGTTGGCCCATGGTGAGGCGGCGACGACTGTTGCTGAGGAAGGTGAGGAGTTGAGAAGGAGTTGGCGGACTTCGGGCGTCATGTTGAAGTAGCCGGCTGTGAAGGTCCATTTTGAGCCTGCGAGTTCGGGTGTGCCCAGCTTTCGGAGGATGGTGGTGAGTGCGGGAAGCTCTGTCGAAGTGTCCGGCTTGAGTAGAGGCGTCAGTTGAAGCAGTGGATAGACGTGAGTGTCGCTCGGTTTCTCGGTCTTTGTGGACGAGGCAATCGGCCGCGTCAGTGGCGCTAGTGCTTGTGTAGCCGCTTTGACATAACCGTTTGGATCTTCTAGCGGAGCGGGCTGGATATTTGTGGTTGGCCAGTCCATTGTGAAGCCATTGCCTTCGCTCGTAGGAAGGACGCGATAGCTCATGTCCGAGACTGTGCGGTAGACACGGTAGAAAAAGTCTGTGACGTCCTTCGATTTGAAGACATGATATCGATCTTGACGGTTGGTGAAATAGTCGTCAGATAGATTGGCCCCAGACATGATTATCTCGTCGTCGACGCCGTAGAGCTTCATATGCTGGAGTCCCCATCCTTCGTTGATCCTCTTTGGAATCATCGATTTGCGTAGACCAGTCAAGTTCGGCGTGTGATATAGTCGTATCTCGACACGCTCTGAGCCAAAGTCTCGGACGAGAGATGCAAGTAAGCTCGCGCATGATGGGTTTGGCGCTTCTCGTGTCCCACGCAAAGCGTCTGTTAGTATAGATACTTCGAGCTCAGGATTGTTCTTTAGTGCCGTCCGTACAGTCTCAATCTACACATTCAGCTGTCAGTAAATTGAGCTTGAAGAGTGCGAGCGTCTGACCTACTAGCTCGTGCTCTGTCTTGCCAACGTAAAGCGTCGACAGATAGATACGTCGTTTTGCACCAGCAATTTTCGCTTTTAGAGTAGCATAGAACTCGGACGGTGACTGTATGATCTGAATGCAGTCGGCTGGTACATCGAATCGCGGTGTCAACTTATCCAGTTCGCCCGTTATACTCGCCAGCGATGCAGCTGGAGATGGTGGCATGGACGTTGCCGCCGCTGAGGCATGAGACGTGCTGGAGAGGCGACATTGCCCTCGATTGAACCTCTGAGTTGGCAGCCATGGTAAAGAGGGCTTGATGCGCCTCAGACACGGCGCAACACTTCGCGGTACCATCGAAATACCGTCCTCCCCCTGCCCTGATGTGACAGGAGAGCTTTGAAGATGCTGGGTTTGCGCGCTAATGTGCTTAGTCATCTTTTTGCAGCGATTCCGATTGGCTCTCCTGGAAGGCTCTCAAAAGCTTTTTCAGGCGGCACGAGAGGTTCTACACAATGCAGCGTGGGAATCTGGAGAACAGCGCGAATTGATAAATATGTCTCTCGTACGCAGCAACGTCCACAGCGATTGCCTCTCTGGTCACACAGGCCTTACACTCGGCTTCCCACTATACCAGCGGATATCCACAGCAAATCTGGACGAAGACCCGGCTCAACCCTACTCACTCCTTGATATCCGGCATCTCGTCTCCGCTATCCTTCATACTTGATTCGGTCTATAGAACAGCGTTTTGGACGCCAGTGAGCCAGCAATACTAGTACCACTGGCCAGCTGTTCTGTGCGTCCCTGACGAGGCCCACCGCACTCATCACCGCCCAAGAATGATTTCGCTCTTCATGAACAGTCATCTGCACAAGTATGGAGCGTATGCTGCGGCTACGCAATCGTATCGACCGCAGCAAATCTGGGCAGCGCAGGCTTGCAGCGGTGGCCCGCTCCACGGCTTTCCGGCGTCCCCACCAGCTGCATCACTTGACAAGCGGTAGCAAGTGCTCTCAACCACGCTGCTCTGCCAGAACTACAATGATCATGGCCGCTAGAGACATGTCCATGCCCTCGCTGAGCGTGACCTCCCATCGAGTACGGTAGCCATATGCGTGCTTGTACGCTGATCGACTTCCATGCTGGTCAACAGTACGACGAATGTGCATGACTGCGGAGCCACCACACGCTACTTGGACCCTCTCGTTTGACGAATCCAGACCCTTGACATCCAGCAAGACCACATCCCGGTAATCGTGAGTTTCGCCGGCAGACGGAGGCATCAGATTGTTGAATACGACTTGAAACTTCGTGTGAATGAAGAACGCCTTAAAAGCTATCGAAGCTATGTTGTCGCCTAAACCCGCTCCAGGGAGAGTGGCTGCCCATGTTCCCGCTCGCCGCCGAAGCTCCAGCAGTGGAAGGCCATCGCCATCCTCGAACTCTCTCAGCATGTCTTTGCAGATCGTCTTTCCCGTGACCTGCAGTATGGTAGATCCAGTGTCATTGGTCATGACGAAGTCCCGTGTCAACACTGATCGGTCGAGCTCCGTAATGTAGACCACGGTCTCTTTCGCAGTGACATATTCTGATCGGACTGCCAAGGGACCATGGAGTGGTGGTTGTAGTGCTGTGAGCTCGGGCATACTTTCCTGGACCAGGCTTACTGTAGATATGGTGTACCGAATACTGGCTCCCTGGTAAGGTGGCCCGATGTTGCCAAGATCTTGCTTTTAAGACCAACGCTGACAGATGTAGCTTCCCTTTTGGGACCGAGATCTGCCCCGCGGTTCCCAAAGATTAATAAATACGTGTACTAAAACCCTTCCATCTTCCATATCTCCATTTTTCGACCATTCACGGAGATATCGAATTCTTCATGAGTAACTGAAAGCATAGATTCGCGCTCGGTGAAGGACGACATCACGTTGTTCACATGCTACAAAGCGTGAGTGGCGCAGCGTGCAGGCGCTCTGCAACAGGCGCAAACGGAGCTTCGTAACTTTGGTCCTCGTCTTTACCAGCACGCTCTCGCATACATATTGCGACCACCGACTCACTATTTCCATCCCCGAATAGCTTACCTTAGCAGCAGTACACAGCCATCCACAGGTATCCCAACGACTTGCAAGACATCCAACAGCCTAAGACCGGACTATTATGGCCCTCCCCCACCACGTCGCATCGTCAGCGATGCAAAATCGCATCCAGGAGCTCCTTGCCAAACACCCGCCCATTTTCACGCTCGAGACAGCGGAGACATCGTCTTATCCAACAGCCAGTTTGCTCGGCCTTCCGAGTGAACTCCGTCTCCACATTTACAAGTATGCTTTGTGGCATCAGCAGTCTGACGGGCTCATCTGTCCTGCTCCAGATCTTCGGGTCAATCGCAACTACGTATTGGCGACAGTAACGAACAACCTTTGGCGCTATTCGGAGAACGAGCGGGTGGATGATGGATCTAGGCTGGGAGCCGTCTACCGCTTCAACATGCGCGGAAATGACATCGTACCTGAGAACCTGCTTCGCCCGCCACCACTCGGCCAGCCGCAAGGGCAGAATCAAGCTCAAGCTGTTCTGGCGCACTCACTGGCCAGGCAACGTGCCGACGCACACAACGCTGTCGAGATCCAACGCCAACTCTACAACAAGAGTGTGACAGCCCTGGAGAGGTACGAGCATATCTGCACCCTAAAGTGTCTGCGCCAGCCTGCCCTCACTTTGGTGAGCCGATGTGTACGGGGAGATTCACTTCCTGTCTTTTATGCAGTCAACACAATCCACTTCGAGATGGCGAATTTCAGCGTACCGCGAATTCATGATGGTCAGTGTCGCCGGGGAGAGTGGTCGCCTGTCGACTGGTGGCGCGGTATCGAGGACATGAATCTGAGAGCTATCGATAACCTTGTGCTTGCACTCGATGGACCGTCACTCGCTTGGGAGCCGTTGAATCCTGCCGCGGTGGTTCACAAAAAGCGCAAGAACAGCCACAAGATCACAGTTGTAGGGCTTGCAGGCAGACCCGTGGATCAGCAAGCATCCGCAGACGCGCAGCTGCGCGTCCCTCCTTTGTAGACATCGTCAGCTGCCGCTATTGAAGAGGGTGGACTTCACGTGCGAGGGCTGGAGCATCTCCTGGCGTCCTTTGGCGAAGACACAGCAAAACATCTATTTGACAGACTGTCGCTGGACTAGTGCCGCCTAGATTAGGGGTGGGAACTACCAGAGTAACCCATCACACTGAAGGTTCGTTTGGGGCTACCGGCTGTGTGGAGACCCTTCCGGAGCGCGGTACAGATTGGAGATGGAGCTGATCCACTCCTTATCATGGTGGCGATGAAACTTGCAATGCTAGTGGTCAACCATTGGGATGTGTCATCTTTACTTCGTCTCGAAGCCGTCTCTGCGACTCAAGCCTCGAGCCACCCATGCACAGCCATTTCGCTGAACCGAGCACTGTGTCATGATACTGACATTTTGCCAGTCACTTCTATGTTCTATATCAAACGGACGTCTTTAGAGAGTGACTGTACGACTGACCTTCTGGCTACCTTGTGGTGATTTCTCAGAAGGATATATACAGGATACTTGATTACCAATCGCAGACAGTAGAATGACATTCGATGTGATTCCTCTTCTTATGACTTCGACGTATCTTCACTATGCTTCTCCACCTTGGCAGCCGTAGCAGGCTCGTCTCGTCCAGCACCACTACTGGCTTGGGCGGCTGTGTTAGCAGGGCCAGATACTTTCGATTCAGCAGAAGTTTCGGGTAATGATACTTTCGAGTCGATAGGCTTCGCAGTCTCTGGATCTGACGCAATGGGAGTAGCTGAGATTGCATCCGATGTGCTGGGTGCCAGCTTGTCATCCTCTGTTGGCTTAATGTCCGGCTTCGCAGCTGTCACGTCAGGTTTCTCCCCAGTCTTATCTTCAACATTCGGAGTGTCCGTCTGGACTGGCTTGGTAGTTTCGGGTGCCTTGGAAGCAGGACTCTCATCTGGATCGTGAACAGGCTCTGCACTTGGCCCTGGAGCCGGTGCTGCACTGGCACCTAGAGCAGGAGGGGCAGCCGCTGGAGCTTCCGTCGCTGGTACTGTCGGGGGAGGCTGAACAGGCTGCCCGGTTCGTGATCGAAGAGCCGCGCTATATTGATCGCCGGGAACACCAGCTGCATAGTTGTCTGGATCATTCATTGTGCTATTCTTAACAGCACGGTCATAGAGCCGAGTCAAGCGTGCAACCTCACTTCGAACAGTGACCGAGTCGTTGGTGTCAATAGCATCATAGCCATGGACACCCTTGCTAATGCCCAGCCACATGACAGCAGAGTTCTCGATCTCGTCGACGACGCGCTCGAGGTCATCACGAAACATACGAGCGCGTACAGGCTGGCCTCGTGACTTTAGAAAGGCTACCAGGCCAGCAATGACTGTGTTGAGGGCACCGAAGACAGTGATCAAGATTCTGCTCGAGTCCGAAGCTCCGAGTCCGGTGAGAGTGGCACCAAGGATGACTTGAGATAGCAACAGCGTGTTGGTGAAAGTTGCCGTGAACATGTATGTGACGTTTTGATGTCTTCGATGCCGTGTAGCCCGTCGATAGAGAGATTCTGGGTGTGCTCGCCAGTCTTGGCCAGGCGGATGATTGACAGGTCGCACGCCGACAAGATGGCAGAATTGATGATGGTGATCTCCAAGAGTGTCGCTCATTCCCGGACTCATGCCCGGAAACTGTAGCAAAGGAGAGCTTTCGTCTGCCATTGCTGCTGCGTGATAGAGGTGGTGATGTTGACAAGTGAGAAAGTCACGCACCCGGGCAGGCTCTGCAGTTTGGAGCTAATGATGATGTTTAAGAGGTGGTGTGATGAGAATCATGGCCTTCTAGTATACCATTTGGACACGTGCAACGCCACACAGATGATGAGTGCGTAGCGAGTCCGCTAAGTCAACCGTCTAATTGATCTGTGCACAGAGGCTAGCTGAGATATCTGATGTGGCAGATGTGTACGTTGGTGAGGAATGTTTACTCGTGCCTCTATATCATTCGCGATCCGAAACGAGCATAGCAGATTGTGGAGCAGGCATATCTCTACAAGAATGGAGGACATGATACGAGGTTTGGCAGATGCCAGCAATTGGCTGTCGAGCACGCAACGCCAAGGATCGACAGCTCGCCAGAATTGTATGCAGCTTCCATACGGTTCTTCTGCGCATCGACAACAAAGAACCGGAACTTTAGTAAATGCTTCGGCTCATGAGTACGATGTATCAGTCAATTCAGTCTCGCTGGCCTCGAAGATACACACTTCATGAAGCCGTTGCGACCAGATCTCACGCAGTCTTCGGTGGCCACCACACCATGCCGCGCACAGGTACTCCATCTCCACCAGCTTGTTTCTTTCCCTCAGAATCTACTTGCCCTTCTCCGAGCAAAATCGAGTCAACGACTTCGAAGCCCAGCTTGAGATACAGCTTCGTGGACTTTGCAGTTGTGGCTTCCAACCATAGAGGCACACAATCCTTGGCTGCCCTCTCCTGTGCCTTTTGCATAAGGGCGGTAGATAGACCACGGCCTCGACAATCTTCTCTGGTAGCATTGAAAAAGACATACCAGAACTTCTTGCTCTTGCCAAATGCCTTGCGCTTCATGGCATCGGTCTTTGGTTCAAACTCCAGCAACATGCGTCGGAAACCACCCAAACCTAACTTCGCCACGAACCCGATCATGCCGGCGGGTATCCATGTCCAGACATTGTCGGGCCGTTCGCCAGGCGGTATGGTGACAAGACATGATGAGAAGTCCTCGGTCTCGTCGAAAACACCACCGTTCATCGCCGACGCGATCATTAGACATGTCATCCACTTGTACAGATACGTGTGGAGCTCCTCCCTTGTCAGGTTGCAGAGCATGTATGCAATGACGGGGTCGTCTCTGAAGGCGTCCTTGTATAGTTTGGCGGCCTGGTCTACGCTCGCTTTACCGGTGGTGGTTTTGATCTTGACCTCGGCCATGGTCCTTTTTAGTCGTGTGTCAAGCAAGTCTATCCAGTAAGTGACAGGAGCGCCGGCGCAATTGACGAAGGTGCTTCTTGATATCGGTTTAGCTGTCAAGGTGGCAGCCCCAGGATGCTGTGCGCGGACACGCTACGAGGAAAGCAGGTGCCACGATCCAGAGAGATGGACACGCAATGCTCAAATTGCGCGCTATAATGTTTGAGCAACAACATCATAATTGGCCCTTGAGATTGCCAGGGATGGAAAGAGTAAGTGCTTACGATCAGGATCAACATCTTTACGAATGCGAAACCCTACACACTTGGCAGATGATCCAAGCTCAGTGCCTACCGAACCCTGCGTAATCGCCATTATATGATTGAGCTCCTGCGACGAGACGAAAGCTCCTCGATGCATTTTCAAGGAATCCCGCAAAGCTGTCAGGGCAAGACCAAAGATCATGCTATTATGGTACAATTACTCGCGCAATAGATACTGTACACGATATGCTCTGCTTCGCTGTGAAACGGACGGAACCGACAGTGGACAACAGTCTCCTTGCGTGTCGGGACTATTAGATAGTCCTTGCAAATCAAGAAAAGCCAAAGGGGAAAGCTCCAGCGGTCTAAGACGTAGACATGGCAGCTGAACCAAGGAGGCTATCGGTGCTTCATGACCCATGGTCAGTAGAGTCTTCTGACGAGCCAGGCAAGCCAGTGAGGCTGGGAGACAATTCTCTATGGTCGACAAGAGTTCCCGTGGGCACTACTTTCTTACTATAGTCAACGCCAGGTCGGCGAATAAGGTTCCAATTCCAGAGCAATGCGTCGTCCATGCGCTCTTGGTAAGGATCGTTCATCTTCCGGTCGTCCTGAATGCTGGTGTCCTTCACATACCCCATATGCTCAAAGAACTCGATTGACTCTTGGTTCGCTTCGAAGCATCTTACAAACAATCGCTCAACCTCTGCCTCTTCGGCGACGCTCTCGATGACTTGGAGCAGGTGGCGACCAACACCCATGCCTCGCAGGGACTGCGCGAGATAGAAATGGTTGATACGCAATACTGAAACATAATTCGTGCTGTCCCACTCATGGCGGATCACGAAGCTGAGGAAGCCTTCAGGCTTTTTATTACCCCTCGCACTTTGCCTTCTTACAACGAGATTCTTGCTCTGTGGGTCCTTGATATCGCGCTTCAAGACCTTGTCGTCCCAACTTCCCATGGCGTCCTCGTAGTCATCACGACTATCGTCTTCCAGGAGCTCGAATAAAGCTTTGAGTTCGCCTTGTGTTAGTGTCGTGCCGCCCTTGATATCGATCTGGAGCTCCTTGTCAGGCCAAGTCGCCGGCAGCAGTGCATATGACATGCTGTCGTCTTGCTTGAAACGTTTGGCAACCATATGCTTCTCGAAGGCATGGTTGCGCAAGAAATTGACACCTTCCACGGCATGTGCTGCACATTGCAGTGCCTCGCTATACGAGACACCAGCAAGGTTGCCATCTTTGTCTCGCGACGTCGCCATATACTCATCATGACTTCGCTTCGCCATAGCTGCGAGAAATAATCTTGAGGATGGGAGGCGGAAAGAGTGCAGTTTGACGCGGAGAGAGTAACGCGTTTCCATGTTTGGCCTCGGTCGCTTTTGATAGCGTGCAGATCCTAGCTCCGGCGATATCCGAGCAAATCAGACACCATTTGTGCAGTTCGTAGCGATCGAGTAACACTGTTGAAGCTCACTTGCCAATGGTATTCCGAAGGTCAACACAACCATGTCGACGATACTGAGGACACTTCGCAACCTGCGAAGTATCGGCCTGAAGGTACGCGCGAGCCTGAATGTCAACGCACAATACCGCTGACAATTCGTAGGAGTATGGCCACCAAATGCATGTATGAGAAGCCTCACTTCTTGCGAGCAACCATAAGCCACTAACGACGCATATTCGAATTGTAGTATATGGGTACGAGCAAGAACAAGTAGGACCCTGGTGGGATCATGGACTAAAATGCGCAGGCGATACGAAGCGAGGAACACTGATAGCACTGGACAAGTACGGCAACAAGTACTACGAAAACAACGAAGAGGAGCTGCCATGTTCGTTCCGGAACACTCTGCGAAGTCCTTGACACAGACGTGCTGATCAGGTGCAACAGTACGAACGCGATGGGTCGACTACAAGGACAAGGAGTTTGATCCGTAGGTGAAGACATGACCTGTGACGGTGTTATTCGCTGACCAGTATACAGGAGTCAAATAGAGCCGGGCTGGTAGGGATGATTTGATCCGAGTTGATCGACTCCCAGCTGACTTCTGTCAGGCACGCATGGATGTCATACATGGTTGACAAGCCACCGACCGAAGACAAGATCTTGCAGCGACAGGTCCGAGTATGGGAGCCCAAGGAGCATCGGCCACTCCTCACGTTCACGAGGAGCGCGTATAAGCCTTACAGCACGTTAGTGGCCTCACGTCCCGCCTGTAGGACGATAGGTCAAGCTAACACATATGCAGGACACGGAATAAGTACCAGCCGTGGACACCTGTGGCTGCCGCTAGATGAGCGATATCATGGTGATCAACTCTAGGGTTTGAGCGAGCAGATGACACAAGATCATGCAAGCAGGGGTGTCAAGGTGTTCTCCATATTCAATGTTGTACATATCTTGTACTTATCGTCTACCACGAAAGCCGATCAGGAAACGTCTACGCCGACCGGTTTGACTGGTACGCCTCCTTTGGATGTACTGTACATAGGGCGATCGCTGGTGCTACAGCATGCACCTCGCATGCAGCTCGCATGATACCTCGACTTGACTCATCCGCCGTCATATCTCATACCTGCCTAATTTGGGCTACAGCTTGGCCTGCATGAGCAAAGCTTTGGCCAAGGTAAAGCGTGCTTGAGGGGCATTGGGGTCAATGTAGCGATTACTTCTTCGTATAGTGTTCCAGAACATTGTATCGTCGATACCACATTCCTTCGTTGAGTGTTCACTTGGTCGCAACTACCTGTACTTGCATCCGTTGCCAAAGCACGAGAAATAAGCCTTTGGCAAAAGTCGTGGGGAGGAAGCTAGCATCGCTACGATCGTCACTGAACGTATGAAAGATCTATCGGAATCGCCATCGTCTGCACAACCTCGCCTTCTTTGCTCGACGTGCATTCGTCCCTATCAAAATCCCCTACTGGCTTCCTGGCTCTTAACGACTATCGGCCTACAATCTTGGTGGCTCCATCGTGTGCTTGTAATGCCGCAGCACGTCTGAGCGCTGTTTGGATTCACGATAGGGCAGGCGAAACTGTGCGACTGCGCCAAAGTTCACACATTCGGAATGTTCGCATGTAAAGAGACCTGGTCAAAAGACGATTTCTCGCGTTGCTTCGAGCAAGATTACCTGCAGACACTCTCTCCACTCATCACTTGTGGCTTCTCACTTCTATACCTACTTTATCAGACCGGCAGGACTCTTGCGCGAAGGCACAAAATCGATGGATATACACTCGTCGATAACGATGACTCAAATACCAGGCGATTGGAGGAAGAGGACGGAGACGAGGACGACGAGGATGATAGCGAAGACGAGCTGCAGCAGAATGTCGACATGGCGTTGCGGACAACCAAAAGTCAGGCAGACATGTCGGTGATACAAGTGGACAAGCCACGTGGCGAGGTACTGGTGGCTGTGGTAGAAGCATTGGCAGTGTACGCTGCGGTCGGCATACAGATCGCAGCACTCCTGCTGCATGGATGGGGTAGGAAGTCTACTATCGCAGCAATTGCGGGTGTAGCAGTGTGGGCCTATATCGCGGTCTTGACGTCGCTACGGCTCTTATTCAGCTCAACCTTTCGGTTCTCGTTCCCAAAGCTGTGGTATCATACAGCATTCCTATACGGCTTTCAATGGTTCTTCACAGTTCTGGTCTTCCGGACGCAGGTCATCCATCCTCGATCACACCTGACCCTCGTTCTGGCAAGTGTGAAGTTCGCGCTGGTTACACTGCTCACAGGGATTTCCTTGACATCAAGAAAAGGCAATCGGACGGTTCAGCTGGAATACGAAGACGACATTCAACCATCACGAGAACCATTGGCAAGCGTACTATCTCTTGCCACTTTCTCATGGCTTGATTCAATAGTATGGAACGGTTACAGGAAGACGACAGAAATGTCGGATGTCTGGAACCTAAGTCCGAAGGATAAAGCTGCTGCCATCTTGGCCGATTACAGGCAGCTGAAGAAGACCTCTATTTTGGCATTTCACCTACTTCGATATTTCAAGCGAGGACTCCTTGTTCAGGGCGCTTGGGCTGTCATATCTGGACTGATCACTTTCGTTCCAACACTGCTACTAAAGGTCATCTTGCAGTACGTGGAAGACCCTTCTCAGACGCCACGCAATGCTGCGTGGTTTTATGTTATCCTTCTATTCGTGTCCGGCGTGGTCAACGCTCTGTCCGCAAATCAAGCACTCTGGGTCGGCAGGAAGATCTGTATTCGCCTCCGAGCCATCATCATTGGCGAAATCTATGCCAAGGCATTACGTCGAAGAGCTGCAGCAAGCACGGATAAGGTACTTGGTCAAGACAAGAAAGACGATGGTCTAGAACCGAAGCTGGGCTTTCTTCAGAAGGTCATGTTCTTCAGCCGCAAGAAGAAGTCGGCCGACAAGAAGCCGGCCGACTCTGCAGCGAAAGCGCCGCTGGACGACTCGCAGGTCACGTCTGGCGCGATCATCAACCTTATGGCTGTCGACTCGTTCAAAGTCGCTGAGATTAGCGCTTATTTGCATTTCCTGTGGGCAGAGACACCCGTGCAATTCATCTTGGCGATTGTTCTACTGTACAAGTTCCTTGGCAAGAGTAGTATCATTGGCATCGGCATGATGGCACTACTTCTACCTGTGAATATGATCATCGCGAAGCGCTTTTCTACCGTACAGAAGCGAATCCTAGCAGCTACTGACGCTCGAATCCACACGACAAATGAGGTTCTCACCAACATCCGCATCATCAAATACTTTGCATGGGAGCAGCGCTTCCTTGGTACTGTAGACGAGAAGCGAGTCGTGGAGCTGAAGTCCCTGCGCGATCGCTATATCATCTGGGCCATCGCAGCAACCATCTGGTCTGGTGCGCCCGTCCTTATCACATTTTTGACATTCGCCTTTTACACCATGGTGGAGAAGAAGGATCTGATACCGTCGGTCGCATTCACCGCCTTGTCGCTGTTTAGTCTACTGCGCATACCGTTGGATCAGTTGGCCGATATGGTAGCACACGTGCAGGAGTCCAAGGTGTCTGTCGATCGGGTGGAGGAGTATTTGAACGAACCGGAAACAGATAAATACAATCAACTCCATGACAAACAGCTGGATGAGCAGGGTGAGCAGATGATCGGTTTCGACAATGGCACTTTCAGCTGGGGCAACAGCGATTCGGAAGAGTTCAAGATGATCGACCTTGACATGCGATTCAAGATAGGCCAGCTCAATGTCATAATCGGGCCAACAGGAAGTGGAAAGACTTCTCTCTTGATGGCTTTGCTTGGCGAGATGACACTAATCAATGGTACCGTCTATCTGCCAGGTGGCCGGAGCAGGGAAGATCTCAAGGCAGATACGGAGACAGGGCTCACCGAAAGTGTGGCGTACTGCGCCCAGCAAGCTTGGCTGGTAAACGGTACCATCAAGGAGAACATCGTCTTCGCCAGCAAATGGGACGCGAAGCGGTACAAGAACGTTATCATTGCATGCTCTTTGCAGCGCGACCTGGAGATCCTGGACGGTGGCGATCAGACACTGGTCGGTGAGAAGGGCGTCACACTATCTGGCGGTCAGAAACAGCGTATCAGTCTGGCTCGTGCGCTCTACTGTAATGCGCGGCACGTACTTCTCGATGATGTGCTGAGCGCGGTAGACTCGCATACAGCGAAATGGATCTTCGATAAAGCACTGATGGGTCCGCTCATGTACAACCGTACATGCATTCTGGTCACTCACAACGTGGTATTATGTCTGCCACCTGCAGAGTATGCTGTGGTACTGGAGAACGGCCGCGTGACAACACAAGGTACTCCTGCAGCGGTCATCGCGAGTGGATTCATCAACGAGGATGTCAGCAAGCTCGAATCGATGACAGCTTCGCGTAATGTGTCTACGCTGCCATCGAGAGTACCTTCTGGCATCGGCGGAGAGCATCCCATATCGGAGAACATCGAAGGCAACGGCCACCTCGAACCACCTAAGCTCGACACCACCGCCGCAAATGGTCTCCCTAATGGTGATCCACTGACTAGGGCGGTGTCGAAGGACATCCCAGGCATGAACCAAACAGTCGATATACAACAGGAGTCGAAGGCAGAAGGTGCGGTTAAGCTGCAGGTCATCTTCCAGTACCTCCATAATATGGGAGGCTGGGCCTATTGGCTCATTGCTGCGCTGTGCTTCATCGCCCAACAGATCTCGCAAGTGACCACGACTGTATGGATTCGTGAGTGGTCGAATGCTTATACACGCCATGAAGCCATTAGCACAGTCGACGCGCATCGGTCTTCACCCATAACTCATGTCTACGGAGGCATCGGATCGTCGGCCAGCTGTCTCAGGAGCGGCAGCTGTATTTGGAGCATGTCATCCTGGGCGCAAACAGGTATGAAGGTCAACATGCTGGGGTCCGAAGTTGATGCCGGATACTACCTAGGCGTGTACGCCTTGCTTGGTGGCGGCTATATGATCATCACTCTGGTCAGAGAAGGTGTATTGTTTGGTGGCTCTCTGAACGCCTCCAAACGCATTCATCGTAACCTGATGGTATCAGTCACGCACGCCAAGTTCCGCTTCTTCGACTCTACACCTCTTGGTCAGATCATGAACCGCTTCTCGAAGGACATCGAAGCTGTCGACCAGGAAGTTGCGCCTGTCGCCGTGGGTGTGGTGCACTGTCTAGCATCGATCATTACTGTTGTGGTGCTCATCTCAGTCATCACTCCTGTCTTCCTGATTGCGGCCTTTTTCATCAGCATACTGTACTTTCTCATTGGCGCCTTTTACATCAACTCCTCCCGCGACCTGAAGCGTCTCGAGTCGACGCAACGCAGTCCTCTATATCAACAATTCGGCGAGTCACTTTCAGGCATGACTACAATCCGAGCATACGGCGACGAACGACGCTTCATCAGGGAGAACTTACAGCGGGTGAACACGCATTCTAGACCGTTTATCTATCTCTGGGGCGTCAACCGATGGCTTGCGTTCCGAGTTGATGTGGTTGGTGCGCTCGTCGCCTTCTTTACCGGCGTCTTCGTGGTGCTCAGCGTGGGCACTGTGGATGCTGGTGCCGCTGGTCTTGCTATGACTTACGCTGTCACTTTCACGGAGAATGTGTTGTGGTTCGTACGATTATATGCAGCCAACGAGCAGAACATGAATTCAGTCGAGCGCATCAAGGAGTACCTTGATGTGGACCAAGAAGCGCCACCTGTCATTCCTGAGCATCGACCAGATGCAAATTGGCCAAGCAAAGGATCCGTTGAGTTTGTGGAGTACAGCACACGGTATCGAAGCGACTTTGACTTTGTGCTCAAGCGCATCAGCTTCAAGATTCTGCCAGGTGAGAAGGTCGGTGTAGTAGGCAGGACTGGTGCAGGCAAGAGCTCACTGGCTCTGGCGCTCTTCCGAGCTCTTGAAGCAGAGGAAGGACGAATCCTTGTGGACGATCTCGACATCAGCAGCATTGGTCTGCAGGACCTTCGTGAGAACATCGTCATGGTTCCACAAGATCCGACACTGTTCACAGGCACTATCCGTAGCAACCTCGATCCTTTCGGCTTATTCACGGATGAGGACATCTATACCGCATTACGAGGGGTGCAATTGATTGGTGCAGCCTCCGCGACAGGTTCTGCTGCACCCTCAAGACCACAAACACCAGCAAATCTGGGCAAGGGATCTGCACCAAACACGCCAACCAAGAAGCAGGCCACTGATGCGAAGTCCCTTCTGCCCCAGATCAAGGAGCCAGACACGCCCACAGACTCCACGGCCGCCGCATTTGAGAACAAGAATATCTTCCGCAATCTTGCTGCACCTGTCGCCGAGTCTGGCAGCAACCTTTCGCAAGGCCAACGCCAACTCCTCTGTCTCGCCCGCGCCATGCTCAAAGCTCCCAAAGTCCTGCTCATGGACGAGGCCACCGCCTCTATCGATTACGCCACGGATGCCAAGATCCAAGAAACCATTCGCGAGATCAAGAACACTACCATCACAATCGCGCACAGGCTACAGACTATAATCGACTATGACAAGGTGCTTGTGCTCGATAAAGGTGAAGTGATTGAATATGGCGATCCGTACGAGTTGATACAGAAGGAGAGGGGCATCTTCAGCGGCATGTGTGAGATGAGTGGGGATATGGAGGTGCTGCAGAAGATGGCGAAGGAGGCTAGCGATAGCAAGAAGCTGGTTGATGACAGCTAGACTGTCTTGGTATTGATGCGGAAGAAGGCACAGCGGCGGCAGTGCCTCCATTGAGCGTTCCAGATCATTTGCATGGAGTTCGTCGACTTCATCTGAGCATTCAGCACGGTGGCGAGCGAGCTTCAACTTATTCTTACTTTCTCCTGTATGTCGCTTGTGGATAAGGTACAAACAAGACTACCTGTACATATACCATACAGAATCTCATTTCAAGCACAGTGTTGATTCACTTCGATCCCTTCCCTACACGTTGATCGACTTCCTTATCGAGGAACTCGGCTTCATACCGCTTCCACACCTCTGCATCCCTCCGCATGACTTTTTGTCGGCGGACGACTACTTCATGTTCTCGTAGTCGTTTGTCGGCTTCGATCATGCTGCCCAGAGTCATGCCGGACATTTGCAGGAAGACCTGGGCTTTGAATTAGTCTTGTCTCTTGGAAAGTCGTCTCTGTGGGACAAACATATACCTTGAATTGAAACGTCAACCCGCGATATAACGGACTCAGAGCAAACCCCAGACCACCTGCTGCGGCGGAGAAGAGTCCCCACTGCCCATCAGAGTCAGCACAAATACATACACTATCTACATCATTGTGAAGGGAAATAACGTCTTCCTCTCCCTCAACCAACCTTCAAAGCACCTATAACAGCGCCACGACCCGCCACCCACGCCGCCTCGTCCAGCTCCTTGTCGCCTTTCAGGTCTCCATGCTTCCGCACCATACTAGTATACCATTGGCGAACCTCACGTGAGGAGTTACCGATTGGGATGGAGTATGAGAGATGGATCACGCGAGTCAATGCATCGAGCAAAGTGCATGACGCTAGTTCGAGATCGGGTATTGCGGAGATCTGACGGAGATGCGGCGGAAGTGATTCACGACCAAAGGTATTGATCAATTGTAACATTCATGAAGAAGAGGATTCTGGCTATACACTTTCTCAAGATAAAGATAAAACATAGAGAGCTCTCGTTCCAACTAGCTACTCATTTCATTGCCCGCCACGCTATACAGAGCCTCCAAGCCCACCACAGCACCCACGACTCCCAGCGCTCCATGCGCTCTTCCTCCCCAACACACATTCCCCAAATCGTTCAAGAAGGACTACCTCTTCCTCCAAGCCGCGACCTCAAATTCAATGTCGTGAGTCAACGAACCAGTCGCACATACTCTCGATCACGGGCTTCCTGTACCCGTCATTTCCTTGCAGGTCTACTTCGCCAATGTCGCCATCAACTCGTTCGCCTGCGGAAGCGAAAGCCCTTTTCCTTATGTACACCGCAGATGAGAAATCGAAGAAATCATGCGTAGCCATCGAAGCCAATATCAGAAGTGAATGGGAACTCATCCCCGCAGCGCGAGATCGACACCCATCGAATCGCCACGTAGTACAGCCACGGAAAGCCTGGCCAAATAGAAGTCGGGAGTAAGACTCTCATGGGCGGGCGTAACAGCAGGTGGCAAGACCATCCACATCAAATTAGCCTCTTCGCGTCGCCTGTATCTTTTATCTCCTCCTCGGCAATGGTTTCGCTGGCGAAGTGCCGGTCCTCGGTAGATTTGCCCTCACTTCTTTCCATCCCAATGCCGACATGTAGCTCGATGCCATGACGAAAGGTCGTCGCCTTCGAATTCGCCAATCACGACTACCTTCCACCTGATCGTCGCGAGTCCATCGGAAAGGTCTTTCGCGTAAGGAAGCACAAGAGATTCCAGCATCAGCGCCCCAGCAAGTAGGAGACACAAAATCCCTTCACCTCTTCACCTTCTTTTTCCCCGGCTCCCCCTCTCCCTCCCCCTCCTCCTCCTCCTCCCCATCACTAAACTCCGCATAAACAGTCTTCGGCTGCGTAGCCGCCCACGCATTAGTAAAAACCGGATCATTCTTAGCCTTGTCCGCAAACTTCAGCAACGCCTCCCGGGGATCCTCATCCCTTAAACTACTCAAAGGGATGTTCTTCCGCACAAACTCCTCATCCGGGTTCGTTTTGGAAAAGGGCGTCTGGGCCGGGATATGTGGGCGGCGGGGATCCCGACTCTTGCCGCTGACGGTGAGGCCGATGGTTGGGTGGCGGGAGGCGTGGCTGGTGACGCTCGGTCCTGTGCCGGAGCCAGGGACGATGATCTCGCCGGAGGAGATTCCCGATGCGACGTCCGTGGTTAGGTTGGGGTCGTCGTCGATATGGCGGCGTTTCGGCGCGCGGGACATTACGGTTTTGGCGCCGCCGGGGGCGGAGAGGGTGGGGGAGTAGAGGACGTGGGTTTCGCCGTTGGCGGAACCGGTGAGGATTTGGTTTAGTTTGGCGTGCCAGAGGACTTGTATCAAAGGTGAGCCGGGGGTCACGGGGGTGATGAAAGAGGGTTTCAGCGTGGCCGGGTTCAGGAAGTGGAGGTGGCCTGTTTCCGAGCCCGTGAGGATATGGTTTGAATCGGGACTGAACCGGATATTTTCGGTGGGGTACTGGGAGGAAGTGGAGGCGTGGGAGGTGGTGGTGATGGGGTGTTTGAATTTCCGCGTATCCCAGGTCTTGATCGTGTGGTCGCCGCCTCGACTCACGACCGTCCGTCCGTCCGCGCTGATATCCAGCCCACTCGTCCATGTGTTGTTCTCATGCGCGTTCCTGACTTCCGCCGCCGGACGCGCATAAGGACCCTCCCCAGCCCACATCGTCAGACTCCCATCCAATGCCGCCGCTACAAGTAGATTCCCGACCCCGCCAGCTCCCCATACCACGGCGCTCATTCGCGACCGTCCCGCACTCCCCTCCGCCCGGGACTTGTGCACAATCACCTCCTTCTGACTGCGCGAATGCCCGATATCCCAGATCCGCAACGTACTGTCCGTCCCCGCCGTTACGCATAGATTCCGCTGACTCGGATGCCATGACCCCGTCGTCAGAGCCGAGATATGTCCTTTCGTGTTCTTCATGTCCCGGAGATACATATCGCCCTTCACAAACTCCGTCAAGACCTCCCCATCTCGACTCAGGATCTTGGCTTGTGGTAATGCGGTCGTGACGAGGATGTGGTTCGCACTCAGTGGGTTGAAGAGGGCTGTGTGCACGGGGTGGGTCTCGGTGTTGGCGCTCGCGGAGCCCGGTTTGCTGCTTGCGCTCGGGTCGACGGTTTTGAAGGCGCGGATGGTGGTGGGTGTCATGGAGCTGAAGTCGTGGAGTTTGAGGGTGCAGTCGTTGGAGCCTGTTACTAGGCGGGCGCCGGAGGGGTCAAGGGAGAGGGTTGTGATGGCGCGGTCGTGGGAGCGGAGGACCATTTCGTGGGAGACTGGGAGGTCGTCTTCTTCTTCGCTGTCGTCGTCGTCGTCGTCGTCGTCGTCATCGTCGTCTTCTCTATCGCTGTCCTTCTTGCCATTCTCTCCTTCCTCACCGTCGTCGCTGTCCTCATACCCACTCAACCCAACCTTTGCAGTACTTCTAGCTGTAGGCCGCTTACTAGCCTCGACATCCCTCCGACCACCATTCAATCTAGTCTGCTTCCCAAACGAAGTCGTCCCCAGCATCTTCTGCATCTCCTCATCCACCTCCACCTCAACATCCGAGTCCTCACGATCCGCCATTGTCGGCAAACAAGCTTGTCCGCCGTCACCGTGATTTGTGAAAGGCGATACGCGGGCAGGAGGAGACGTAAGAGAGTGACTCGGACACTTACTGAGTGCTGCGTCACTATAGACACTGTGCGTGCATTACTTTGGTAATGAGAGAGTAGATAGAGAATGAAGAGTGGGGATACGAAAGTCGACAAAATGCAGAAGTTACGAGTCATGCAGCGAAGCTTGATTGTGTCTAGCAGTGCAACGAAGGAGACGCTGCTACATCGCTAGATGCAGACTGTAGAGATTGGCTTTCAATGATCTAAACACACATGTTTTGAATCGCTCAGGAAACCCCAAACGCCATCGCAATGCACCTAGATCATTCCATCCCCTCTCTTACTTGCGATTTGGCCTTACCATGTCTCCCATCCCGTACTAACACCGCTCATGACGCTGAACGCCATATCTTCAGTCGCCCAAGGAAAGATACATTCATGCCAGACCCGTCATCCCGCCCAATCCACCTGTAGCAGTCCCCTTCACGCTGCCGACCTTGTCCTGCACCCTCTCCACCCCCGTCGCCTTTGTAACCCCACCAACCTGCTCCCCAACCTGCTTCTGCACCGCACTCCCATTAAGCTGCGGCACCGGCTCCTTCTTCCCCGGCTCTTCCTCCTCCTTCGCTTTCTTCCCATCCTCAGCATTCCTCTCATTATTTCCCCTCGCCATATCCATAAACCCGGTCAACCTACCCCCAGTAAAACTGTTCAACCGGTCTCCAATCGCCGTCCCCGGCGCCCCATCCTTCCCACTCTTATCCCCGTCGCCATTCGCCCACTTGAGGATATAATACCCGCCCAGACCCCACAGGAAGAGGAAGCAAGCTGCACCGGTGGTGAAGAAGATGGCAGGCAGGACGAAACACAGCGCTACTCCTACGGCGAAGAGGATGAAGACGACTGCGCCGAGGAGTCCTAGGATCAGGCCGACGAGGAGGGCGAAGACGGCGACGACGAGGGTGAAGAGGAGGAAGAGGAAGAGGGGGATTCCGGTTAGGGCGAAGTTCATGCCGAGGAATGCCTACACATCCATCTCGATTAGCATCATGATAATGAAATTGGTAGTATTATGAGCAGGGTTGGTGAGAGACGAACAGATAACTTGGGATTCTTCAGCATAAACGCCTGCAACTTGGCCAACAAATTCGCCCTCTGCTCGGGGGAAATAAGGCGGTCGAGGATGGCTTGGCCTTTCATCACGATCCAGTTCCCCAGACCCTCGATCCGGCCGAGGATGCCCGTGGTTGCCGATTGCACTTTGTCGCTCACGCCGGCCGTGGCGGTCGTGGCGGCCTGTTGGCCTTTGGTTGCTAGCTCGGCCATTTTGTGAGGAGGGGTTGGTGAGGGGGAGGTGGGTTTGGTGGTGGCGGCGGCACTAAGTCGCGATTCATTAAGGATCTGCGTTTCCACCTCCCGCGAGTGGGGAGCAACGGCGA